AATCTAGCCCTTCAGATCAGTGCTGTCAAAACGGGGAACTTCCAGGCAAAAAGGCTTAAAGGTGGTATGATTTGCAAGTGGTTGGGCACCAAAACTAGGTGGGGAATCAGCATCACCATTGGAAGACGTCCTTGAGGACGATTGTTGCAGCATGCACAAGGACTGCTCCCATTTAGCATCAAGCACAGTCACCTTTACCATGAGATCCTTCAGAAATTCCTCCAAGGAATTCAATTTTGTATCTTGCATAGCTTGACCAGTAGAAAGGAGGGTAACTTGTTCATCCAAAGAGCGAAGACACATGCCCTCATCCATAAGGAATGAAAGCACCAAATGATAGGATAATCTATTCTATATGAGGGAGTAGAACCTCCAAAGCAATTGAGAGAGACAGAGAGCAGTGAGAGAGAATAGTTGCAGAAAAACTTGCATGCCTTTCTTATTATGATGAAGCAATATAAATAACCCTAAAATAATAAAGTCTTAATAATCCAAGTAATGCCCAACATAAGGAATAATAACATCAATTAACCAAAACTAATGACAATAACATAAAAATAACTCTGCTTTTATAACTCTATTGCTCAACGCCCCATGCGATAATCCTTTGTCCATGCAGGAGCTTGCCGAGTCCTTGTAGGATATCTTCCTGCTACTCCATCCTCTCCAACCTCTCATCTAGCTGGGTTCCTATCATATCATTTCTGGGTCTAATGGAATTCATAGGTATAAGCACTTGTCAAACCAAGATTTTTTTCTTTGGACCATATTCCGACATTGTTCTACAATAAGTTGAATTGAATCACACAATAATCCATAAAATTTACATTTGTCATCAAATTAATAGCCCATATTAAACCCACTACCTTCAATGTTCAACTAACATGTATAGTGCTTGCTCTGAATAGAAAAAGGTAGACTTAGATATGTTAATATGAATATCGTTTTGACATTTGAGATGCTAAATTTACAAAACTTTTCAGCTTTTCAGCTTATACAAATACACCTTTCCATTTTATTTGGTGGGTGGTGAAAGAAAAGATAATTAACCTCAAGAAGTTAGCCTGACAATCAAAGACATTTGTTCTCTTACTTGAGTTCCTGAATTCAAACATTAGGGTCACCTACCACAATAATATTATAGCTTATATGGTCCTTTGAATTTGTAAAGTGTTTAATAGACTCTGAAAATTAATTAAGATATACATAAACTAGTCCAAAAACCAATATTACCCCAAAGAAAACTTAACTTAAACTTCCAAACGATTTACTTGTTACATTTGGATACGATTCAGAATTGCGTTGATTAATAATTAAGAGTTAAGATTCTTGTTCCAATAAAGAATCAGAAATGTGATTAAATTATATGTCAACACCCTAAAAATGATGGAATTAAAAAATTTTCCTTTCTAAAAAGGTAAAGTCTTGCCTGCCGCCTTCCTCGTATAACCATCCATCTGTTACTCCACAATGAATTAATAATTGTAATTTGTGTTATTGTTAACGTTTAAACTACGTTTTGGACTCTATTAATTAATTAATTGCCGAATTAAAATTAAGCGTTGAGGTTGGTTGTTAATGGGACTAATTAATCTTATCCATAATGCTCCACCAATATGTTAATGAATCGACATGGTCTACCGTTCCAAAATTGTAAAAAAGACATGGATATAATGATATAAATAAATTATATTATATTTCAAGTCAAAACTTTCTATGTATAAAGTGTTCTTTTACAAAATTGGTTGCGTACTAAACGTTATTCTTATATGATATATATGACACTTGTAAAAGCACACATAAAAATATTTTCGTTAAAAATTAAAATAAATTCTTGTCACGACAATATTATAGGAAAATTATAAAATTTAATAATGAAAATTTAATTAGAATATATCATTAAAAAAATATTTACTAGTTTTAGATTTTAAATTGTTTTTTGAATTTGCATCCAAAATTATTTTTGAAAATAATAATTTCATGTATGTGTTTATTTTTTTTAATTAAAGAGTTATGTTCAAATAAAAAATCAAACATTGTAAGGAGTTTTGAATTCTGGAATTATAATATCAAATTATGCATGAAAGCACCAAGTAATGCCTGCCACTTTGTCTTCTAAAGTCAATTGCTTATCTTACCCATTTATAATTAGATAATTAAAATTTCCTTTTTTTTTTTTCCTCTTTTGTTTTAAATTTGCTTCAACGGATGAGATCATTAGCATTAGCTAGTGAGCACGATAAGTTGATAAGATTAACGCTTTACATAAAAATTAATGATCAAAACAAGGATTAATATTAACCCATAAATATCCATTATCAATTCACCACATGTCATGCCTAGCTTTTAATTCAATTTTGGGTGCAAATCTAGTCAAAGACTCAAAGTTTAAACCTAATCACTAGATTTTTAATTTGATCAACGTGATTGTTATCTATTTACCTAGAATTTTTTACATGGTATTTACAATTGTTGTAAAACAATATTGAAATATATATATGTATATAGATTATGATATTTTTTTTTAATTTTACTAATAAATGTTATATTACTAAACACTATAGACACACTATTTGAAAAAAAGTAAATAAATAATCTCATGTTGTCGGCCGGCCAAAATTTAACCACATGACTAATTAGCTTTTTGAATCCATTAAGGAGAGAATGATATATATGCGAGGTTATTAGTGTTACATTATAATTAGGTTTTGAATGTAAAAATATGTTGAAAGCATTTTAGGTCAATGCTATCCTTATTATGTCTACCCATTATAAGAACAAATGAACTACATTTCATTACAATTATTATATTTCAATCCTATTCCGTCTCTCCAATCTTTTCCCCTAAATTTATGATATATATATGTATATAGCAAGGTAACAATGCTGGTTTTCTCATAGCTTAAACAATAAGAAAAATGAATGAGATATTAATTGATTAGTTGATTGATGTGAAAACTATTTAAAGGAACTTTTTTGGGGGTAAATTAAAATTTAACCTCTTTTTAATTGGTTTAATAGATAAAATCTTTTATTCATTTTTTTTTTTTTTTCATTTTTACCCCTTTGTTTAACTTCCACGACTTTCCTATCTTCGCTCTAATAGTTGGGAAAGCCACTCGAACTCTACAAATTCAATATTAAAATTTCTTTTTAACTAACAAATTATATTATAAAAAATAAGAAATAAAAGAGAATTTAAAAAAAAAAAAAATGAATAATAGATGTATATCATATAAGAGTTACTTTAATTTTATAAAAATATTAAATGAAATAAAAATAAACTAAAGCTTTTTTTAATTTTTTTTTTTTTTTTTTTTTTAATGGATATGTTTCTTGGTCACGAGGCCCACTAGAGCATTGGAGTGGAAAAAAGAAAAAGGGATGAAAGATCTTATCTATTATACCAATTAGGAGAAGATCAGATTTTAATTTTTGCCCTTAAAAAAGAAAAATTAATTATTCATTGAAGGTATTAATTTAAAATTAGTGAGAACTTATAATTTTTACTTTAAAATTATAATTTATATAAATGGAAAATCAGTTCGAAAAAGTAAAATTTCGGTAAGGTTTCAAGGAATAAATCAAAAGCTATTTGTTAGGAAAGAAAGCACTATTTAGATAGGATTTTGTTGACATCTATCTTTAAGGGCGTATGATAAAAGTGTTATAAATAATATTTTGATTAAATGATAAAAAAATAAAATTTTAAAAGAAATTTGATATATGTGATTATGAGTTACGTCAATGACAAAACAATGTGAGAGTGGGATCATCGTAATGGGCCAATATTAACCAATAGGCTTGTGGATTTCTCTATTCATAAAGCGTTCCAAAAAGAAACAACGTTTTAGGCTTTTAATCCAATCGCATCTTCCATGTGCATTTATATTGTAAAGCACTTTGGGTGAATATATATATATATATATGTTTTTGATTGGGTGTTCGAATCAGCTTACGTGTATCTTAATTAATCCCCGTGGCTTTAAAATTGACAGCTGAGTAAATCTCTTTAGTGACAATCCATATTAGCAATACAGATGAATCGAACTTAAGACCTCTTGAATAATACACTTAAGAGTTTTAGTTGATCGTTGGACCACCCAGTGGTAGTTAGTTTTGGGTGGATATTTCATACCAAAAAGTGATAGTTGGATAAATGATTTTATTTCATTTTCTATTAAGGTTTTATTTTATTTTTCTTTGTGAGATTGTTGAGAATTAAATTCATTCCCTATATTTAGAAAGTACTAATAAAAAACCCATTCTTAAAAATATCAAATAACGCCTTATAAAATTATAATAGTAAAAACTTCAAAAAGATATCAAAACCCCCCTTAAAAACATCAATCAATCTCTAATAAAATAAAGAGGAATTTTATATTTTCTTGACAAAATGCATGATTTTAATACTACGGTCTCACGGTGGGAAAATATATTAATCTCATCCGTGAGTACCAATTAATGAAAAATGTAATAGAATAGAATCGACTTTGTTATAATTAAAGAGTCTATATAACACTAGTTTTGAAAAGAAAAAAACTCCATCTTTAGATGAAAAACTTCTGAATAAGCATCAAGTCTCCACTCTCCAGCAATAAAAATAATTTACTTGTTTATATCATCCTTGTTGGACGATGGACCTTGGTCCCACCACGCCTGCACTTCGGCTAGTCAAGGAAAGAAAATTGTCAACCCATTTGGAATTTGGGTTTGAGACAAATTAACATTATTCCAAGTTTAAACTTTTTTCTCCTGTTTTCTTGTCTCCCTTCATTTTCATAGCCATCTTTTTCACATTTCAAATTAACTCATCATCTTCCTCATCAATTGTTTATAGCTCTCACTATCACTAATATCTTAAAACCAGTAACCAAATTAATAGAACCATATATGCTTTCTCAATATTTGTTTTATAAATAACTATATGTAGCTACACATTAACTATCCTGCTGCCCTGTTTACACATAAAATACAAACATGAATACACATAAACTTGATCATAAAGCCTGTCGATTTAATTCATTTTCACTGACAAAAGTACCATGAAATCCATAAGGAACCCTACTTGGCAACTTCACTGAACTCACTTCCTTCATGCTTGATGCTTTCACTATCACCAACTCTGATTTTTCTCTTCTCTCATCTCTCACAAAACTCATTATATATCCTTCTCCTTCACTTTCATTATTCTCTTCAGCAACATAATATGGCTCACCACCAAAACGACTTGACCCGTACATGAAGTTTCTCACCTCACCACTCTCTAAATCAACCTTCGCTATGCCACTACACTTGGGCCACGGTTCTGCAATTGCCAGGTAAGCAAACCGGGTCTTTTCACCCAATTGCTGCTTGTTTACTTGACCCGCCTCCAAATTCATACCCGACACAATGACCAGCCGGGTTGACTCTCCTGTTGTCAAGTTCAATCTTATCTCCGTTAATTCACTCCGAACCGGTTCTTCGTATTCATTGAAAACCGAGTCTGGCGGGTTCATGCATGACCCGATAATAACGATAATCTTATCACCATTACTAGATTTTTCTTCCCATGCATTCCATAAATGGAAACAAAAACAATCTGGTACGTCGATCCATTTAATACGCGATTCATCAAAATCATTTTTTGACAAAATTCCGAACCGGGATATCTTGGTTTTGTCATAAATAACGGGTGACCCACCCCGAATCATTTCGGATAACTTGAATACCACTTGGTGATCCGGGATAACGACACAATTTTCTGTGATAGCGAAGTCATGAATCATGGTCGGTTGATCGAGTGTAATGTCCACGTCACGTGACTTCTTTCCTGACTTATTATCAAACCTGAAGTACTTCAAGTACGGTTTCTTTACAACGTTATAACTAAGTGTATGCAAATCACCTGTAACAGGGTCCACCTTAGGGTGTGCAATCATAGGACAATCCAACTGATCGTCAAAATTGAACCGTCCTATTGTTTCGAGATCACCGTCGGCTTTGATTTTAACTTGGTAAGGAAGATCATCTTCCGACATGGCTAACAATCTACCGTTGAAGTAAACAAGGCCAGCATTTGCCACGCCCATACCACGGGACCCATCAACCAAGCCGACTCCAGCACGAGCCATAAACAAAGCCAGCCGAGCCAAACCCAAGTGACCATGCAGCTCGCCAATCGGCTTGGGAAATATCGGCCTACCCCATCCGGCTTCTTGCTTGAGCCGGCTTGTGAGCGTGTACCTGCAGCTATAGCTGGCTTGATTTTCCAATCCGAAAGTTACTGCGTGAATCATACCATCGCCATCAAATAAATGGTGACCACCTGAGGGAGCAAACATGGGATTAGCGCCATTTCGAACATAGACGCCACGCAAGCAAGATGGAATCTGGCCGACAACTTTAAGCCGATGCTGAACCAGGCACTCCTGAACCGGAGCGAAGTTACCGGATATTTGAACCGTGGGGTCGACCCTTTTTGGCAAAGTTTTGGCTTTGTCAAAGAATCCAATCACTGAATCCTCAATCTTGTCTAGAGCCGACGCTGCTAGCTTTTGAAGAGGGTTCAGGTGAAGTGGGAAATTATGTTTGGTGGGGCTAAAAACGGGCTCTGTGGGATCAGGAGGAGACGGATAAAGTGGCGGCACTGGCGGTGATTGTGGTAGCTTTAAGGGTAAGGTTATTTTAGAAGGATTGATGAGGACTTTGCAGGTGAATTTAGGGAAGTGAGGTGGGCTTGGTTTGGATGATGAGGAGTTGAAGAGATGAAGAGAGGAGGATTGCATTTTGGTGAATGTAGAAGGTGGTGGAGGTGGTGAGATAATGAAGAAGATGGTGGTTCCGTGGTGGTTTATATAGAGTATGAAAAAGTGCATTAAGTGGGGAGATAACGAGCGAGACCTACTTCTATTGTGGCGAAAGGATGCATGAACACGTGGAAGATGAGTTTGAAGCATATGATTGGTTACCATTTTTATAATCAGAAATTGTTTCATAAATAATCAAACGTCATTGTACAATAACACAGTGAAGCCAAGACTTTTAGATAGTAGAGTATTATGGTAATATAATTTTTTGAAACTCACAAATTAATTAAGCCTCTAAACCCTAGTTTTAACCAAATTCTCTTACAATGAGATTTAACAAATGAATAAAATAAGAAATATATTGAAGAATATTCATTATTTATATCAAAGAATGGAAATGAAAGCAACTGATAAAAAAGTAAAGTAAGTTCATTTTAGATCTGTTATATCTTCTAACCTAATCACATGCGATTATATTTTACAAGTTATTAATTTTAGATAAAAATTATTAGTTGTTTGTTTAAATTTAGTTGTTAAATGAATTTTAGTCTTTTACCAAACATGTAAAGTAATCAAAACGTATATTTTTCTTTATAATATATATTTAAAAAGATATATTAAAATTAAGTTAAAAAAAATTCAAAAATCATCAACTCAATCCAAATTTATTAGTCACCTCAAGAATCTTAAAATTTAACGTTAGTCTTCAAAAGTTATATATATTTAATATGTTTGCTCAACATAGTAAATTATTATTGTGACCTCTTGGATATTTTTTATGCATTTTTATGAGGTGTGAGATTATATATATCATTATATAATATATATATATAGGGAGTGGTGTGTGTGTGTTGTGTGCGACTTAACCAAAGTTCTCAGCAATTGAGATATTCGAGAAGCCATATTTTAGAGAAGTTATGCAAGAACTCAACCAACAAAAAATGGAGCACCGAGTGGGAAAAGAACTCGACCACGATGGAGGAAGTTCTCGAGCATTTGAATATTAAAATTTTAACATTTCAAATTAAAAGTTATTAACAAAAAGCATAATAGAAATCATATACAAAATTATTTCAGATTTTTATATATAATTCTTTAATCAGAACATTTTGATATAGTTTTTATTATGATTGTGGTTAATTATTATTAGATTTTTATACATAAAATTTTATTCTAGTTCAATAAGTAAATTCAATGATATTTAGATATGGTCTTAACAAGATTAATAACAAAATGTTTAATTAAAAGATTTTTTTTATTTTTTTTTATTTTTTATGATTAGGGGTATTCGAGCCAGCTTGCACACACTTTAACTAATTTTCTAAGACCTTAGAACTACGAATCGAATAAGAGTTTCAGTAGTTATCTCTATTAACAATTAAAAAGGGATTCAAACTCCGAATTTCTTGAGTAATACACCTAAGAGTCTCTATCAAACCACTCAACCACCGAAAAATAGTTAATTAAAATAAATTATCGTACTCAGGATTGTCTTAAACAAAGGAAAGAGTAAAGGATTATTGAGACATAATTCCCACTTGCCACTTGTCATTGAAACGATACCAGTCATACAAGGTGCAAAAAATTTGATGAGTTTATGAAGAAATAGATGCATATGGGTGAGAGCATAGGCCTTCATTAGCTGACTGGATTCATCTTCCAATAGTTCACGAACACCTCGTACCTTCATTGTGGGCTCTCACGTGTTAGCCCATGTACAGAACTTCCATCTTTCATTTCCAATGTTAATTAGCCTTGCCCTTTATATTTTCTTTCCAAGCTATTCTTCGCTAGTGAAGACATAGCATGTTCACTTTTCTTACACGTGCCAATCTAAAGACGTGTCTAGGTGGAATTATAATCCACGTGGAGTCCAACTATGTCTATGTTTGAATGTATATAAAGTCATAAATGGGATGGATTGATTTCGTCATTAAGTTCGTAGTTGTTCTCGACCTCTCCTTCATCATGTCATTGGGAATTTGCATGTTTTTATATGCCTTACAACTTTTTGTAAACAATTTTATCAATTAAATTCTCAATAAAATTATCTTCTGTTACAAATATAAAAAAATCTAAATATTCTTTTAAATAAATATTCCTACAATAAAAAAATAATATTAATAAAATTATATGTAACATTAATTAGCTCCAAACGTTAACTTAGTTTATATAAATATTTGGGATTAGGGGTGGAAAAATCCAATTAACCAAACCGGTTCAGCCTTTTTTCGAACCGAACCAGAAAGTTAGTTTAGACATTTCCCCTAACTGAAACCAAACTGGTTTCAAGAAGAAACCGATTTTTTTATTCGGTTTTAGTCTAGTTTTCTAGTTTGGTTCGTTTTTCAGGTTATTTTTTACCCCTATTTGGGATTAAAGATCAATTTATATTTTTTAATCTCTCACGAATACAAGAGGTATACATTATCAATTAGATGACACTTTTCTTTGAAAATTTTAAAATAAAAAAGATAAAGTCTCTATTTTATCACTCAACAAACATTTTTTATGGCTTAAAGAACATGTTTTAAAATGTCTTAAAAAAGGGCATCATTCTATTTATAAAAAGTGTGAAATTTTTTTTTTTTATAATGATAAAGAAATATCTATTTACTATTAATACAAATGAAAGTTATATCTTTTTTTTTTTTCTTTCAGTTTAAAATAGAAATATCCTCAAAATGCTAATACTCATTAATAAAACTATAATATAAATGTTTTTCTAATTGCTCCGACATAAGATTGTTGAAGTACGAAAGGAAGGTTCGATTTGGAAATTAGAAACCCATGCAGGTGGTGAGCTCATAGGCCAACGTGGGATGGTTTGACATCAGTTACCAGGTGATTAACGGCCCAAAACTTAGGTACGTAAACGAAACGAATACACACCATTCATTCCATTTCCCCTTTGATTTTCTATTGTTCATTGAACCCAGCCCACTGACTGTGTCCAAGTCCCTCGTATTCTCTTTTTACTGTTTTCAAAGATTTTTCCCAAAAACATGGGACCGTCAACCCTATTTTTGAATACCTAACATGTTTCTTCGCATTTACCTACAGATACTCTTTAGTTTCACTCCGTGTCCAGCTATGTTGCTGAGCTGCTATCCATATATAGGTTTTGATGTTACAACAAAGTCTCATATTTGGTATGATTTATGGAAATATGAAGAAGTGAAATAAAGATTGAAATGGTGATGAGGTCATTGGATTTAATGTTAGTAAGAAATAGAAGGTGGATAGGCGCCCACTTTTTTTAATATAAACCAAGCAAAACCACAGGAAGATTGGGGTGCTTTTGCAATGAACCTAGCCCTCGCAGGTCTCAGCCACTGGTATTTTGCATGCCTACCTCACTTGCATGTCAACTTGGTTTACAAGACGCCAATTCTAGTTTCTACGTTACAATATTTGCGCAATTTGTGGAATACCAGCAACGAATTTCTTATATTATGACGTTTTGGTGATTGTTGAGGAGAATATTCTTTTGTCAACATTAATGAATGACTAAATAGTTTAATGACAAACAAAATTCTAAAATAAATAAATTCTTCTAAGAAAATAATCACAAATATTGTGAGTACAGCTTGTACAAGCAGTATTTTATCATGCACTATTTAAGGCTGGTAGATTCTACTTCGAGTGTACGGAACACCCATAGTGTGAGTTGTTAATATATGATTATATATGTATGGGAACATGCAAATGGTAAGATGTGAAAATTAGTGTTTTAGAAACCAACCTAGGGTGAAACCCGGCAAAGTGGCTAGGTCTCGGGTTGACCGGTTTAATCGGTTTGACCAATAGGTCAAACCAGTGTCCAAAGATTTAAAATGTAACAAAAATATCCCTAAAAATTACATGTAAGTCTCTATAGGTTTAAAATCTTGAAAAAATACCCCAAACACCACCGTCAGTGTCAACAAATAGGGTCTGTTTTTAGCAACGACAACACTCCCCTTCACCACGAAAACAATCCCCTCAGCCTCCTAACCCAAACCCATCTCACCCCTCCCCCGTTCATCTCCCCAATCGCCGACAATAGTAGGCTTTTTCTAGAGACTTAGTTTTGCGATTTTCTATCGATTCACTACCTAGAAATCACCTCCATCGCCATCATTCCACTAACGGCCCTTCCTCTTTAAAACCCCTAATATCCTAGCCTTCAATTATTTATGGATCAATGTCCTAAATTCTAGGGTTTTCAATAAATAGGAAAATTTGTAACCTGACCCGGTGAAGGCCCCGAGTCCCGGTTGAATCAATTTAACCTACCGGACCGGGCTGGGTTTTAAAACACTGGTGAAAACATCTATCATAAAGTTGATAAACCTTTTACATCTTAGCCTAAGAATCATGTTTCCTAGCCAAAAAAAATTAATCCTTAATAAACTCTCTAGCAGTTATTGGAAGTTACACAATAATTGTGTCTTGTCAAAGGATTATGTATGCTTAAGATCTATAAAAATAGACCATATACGCACTCTAGACATTCATTATTTTTTATTAGAGTTACTCACATACAAAAGTATTGTCATTGAGAGTCTTATATGTGCTTTTAAGTGTTCCAAAAAACTAGCATGTCACTACTAGCATTACAATGATGTCTAAGATCTTACGTTAGATTTTTCTTTAGGGTGTTCAGGGAATGTTGTATTACTGAGAATGTTATTTTAATAGAAAGATAGATTATCTTGAAGATTACTAGAAATGTTTAAGGAAATGTGTTTGGTTTGTTGGAATAAATTGGTGGGTATGTTATGTTATATCAATATGTTTGGTTTGGAGGAATAAGTTGGTAGATATGTTATGTAATACTAAATTGCCCTCCTTTTTAAATATTAATATAATATTATTTTTTTAATAATTTATTTTAACCCTGTACGTTTGAGATATTGTTAAAACCCTTAGCCACATAAAAGTTTAATTTCTAACCAAATCACCCCCACCCACCCCAAGCCATTGCTGGCCGCCTG